TAAAACATTGAAAATAAAGGAAAACTAGTTGCATCAATAAATATGTAATTTTATATTAGGGTTTTCAAGAAGGATACATTTCTTATAGAAAGTCCCGAGTTTCCAAAAAAAGTTTGCTAATTTCTTCAGAATAGAATTTTGACAACCACCTTTGTTTGCTGTTTTGTGATTGCGGTAACTGAGACAAGAGTTCAAATTGTATCTGACTGCCACTTCGTTATCCTTAATGGCTGTTTCTCTGGAATCCTCACTATTACCCCAGGCTCCTGTAATGTCTTTCGTGTTCTAAAAACTGTGCTTGAGGACAACACCAGTCTTTTCTTCAAGAGAACTCAATAAGAGATACGTTCCCTTTTTATACAGAGTGTTAACCCAATGTTATTGTAATTTTTTTCACATCATATTTACATCATATTTAGAAAGATAGGATCTGTATAGAATAGATTTATTATAATAGTGATTATTATTATTATTATAATACCCACCCATTTGACTTTCAATTTTATGTTCATATTTCGTACTGCTGTTCTCTCTCTCCTACGATACATTTTAATTGCCCCACATTCGTTTTGTAAGTTGAGGTTATGAATATGAAGCCAGAAAGAATTATTCAGTTTAAAGTTTCACTACGATAATGTAGATATCTTTGTAATATAGTATCATGGCTTGCGTTTTGAAAGAGTTACATTCTCCTGTTGGTGATTTCATAACAGTTATGCAGGACTAATGTGAATATTATTAGAAAACATATATTTGGATAGTTGCATCTAACTGCAACTGCGGCAGTCACCTTCAGTGGTATGGTTGCAGTTTAAACGTTTGGAGATTGTAACCAATGAAAACCACGGCAAAACCCGGTCACCAACCTAAACATTGACGCCAGCTGTGGAAGCCTGCATTCCTATATAAGAATTTAATTAGAGTCAAGAAACTTATTGAGACGTAGCAGAGTAATTTTTCATGACTAAAGGAGGAGCAATGACAAATATCAATACAAGATGATTCCATTGCTATCACCTTACCTGAAAGAGGTTGAGTTTTTAAAATTATGTATGTCAAACAACAAACCTTCATAAAACAAAATAGTCATTTTGCACTTTTCACATCTCACTAGTTACCTAACTTGACAAAATTGGATTTCTCTACTATCGATATTAATAACTTATTATACTTGTATTCATTTATAAATGGTGCATAAAGGTGTCCCAAATGATTATTTAATATTTTTCATTTTTCAGTCTGATTCAAAGTCAAAATAGGAAAGATAACATACCTGGGATGAGCCAGATAATTCCCCATCCAACCTAGGTTTTTTCCTAGGACCAATGGCTTGCAGAGCAGTAGCATTTGCTTCTCTCTGCCTTAATTCCTCCATTTCAACTCTTTGCATTTCTTTTGCTTTCGCCTTTAATTTAGCTTGCTCAGGATCTTCAGTCCTTGATCGACTCTTAGCAGCTCTCATTAACATTTCCCTTTCCAGCTCCTCATGCCTTTTCCTTTCGGCTTTGTCTAAATCTTCTAAAAACTTTAATTGACCTAAAAATAACTGCATATTATCTTCAACGCTTGAATTTGTACCTTTTTTGCTATTACATATGAGGAACAAGAATTGCTTTTTTCATGTTCGTTAACGCATTTCTGTTTGGTATATTATTTGTTGAAAACATATGTTTCAGATTGAAACAAAGAAAAACTACAATACAAGAAAATTTTACCCTTACAATCCAACATAGTAACTCTGGCGAAAAATAATCAACTTTAAGAAATCCACGCTTATCAAAACTTAAACTGGAGAAACGTTTCAGAAAAAACTCAATTAATTTATGTTAATCGAAAAATATTTAGATATCTGTAAGCGTGGATCTGTCTAGGATGCAGATATCTACTCAGGAATACATTTTGGATTTGTTATAATAATAAGATCAATTATCGTCTTCATCATTTCTATCTTATAAAAAATACAATAAATCTTCAGGCATTATGAGCATAAGTATGGAAATGAAGGGTGAAGTTTATTTTCTGTTATGTGAACTTGATATGAAAAATCATCAAGACAGTTTATTATATGATTTTCACTATAAAGGGTTTCACAAAAACACGTGTTTCACTATACACTAGCTTTCTCAAGCTTAAAAAATTGTTTTACGCTTGAGAAGCTACTGTATAGCGAAACACGTGTCGCGGTTTTTGTAAAACCCTTTAGAGTGAGAATCATACAATAAACTGTATTAATTAGTTTTTTAATATGCATTTTCAAAGTATCGGCCAGTTCCATTCAAGTACGATAGAAAAATCATTCCACTTGACACCAAACAAACCTGTGTATTAATATAACAATAAATTTATAATGGAGGTAAAACGATAATGATTATCAAATTTGGGATTCTAAGAGATGATTTTTGTAAAATTTACTAAATTTATAAACATTTTGCGTTCTTATACTACTGTAGTCTGCATTCTGCAAAATGCAAAACTGAATGCAGACTCAGTTTTGCATTCTGAAAAACGTTGAAATAGGTAAAAGGTCTGCAGTATGTGATCATGAAAAAGAAACATTTTACACATGTTATTGCCAAAAGAGAGTTTCTAAAATGATAGATTTTTGACATTTTAAACTTGTAAAAGCGAATCTAACATACCATAGAAAATTTAAACATTAGTTCCAACCCAGAAAGAAAAGATCCACTTTCTTTTCAAAACTTAGAAGGTTTCTAAAATTTTTTTTTCAACTTTAATACTACCCTTAGAGCTCTCTTCTGATATTAATAAACGGAACTGACTTATTAGTATCTACTATTAACACAAAAAATTTACTGTTACCTTTAACATCACTCGTAATTTCATAACGTTGATTAGCCTTAACATTCTCTAGCCTATGCTCAGTTATAACAGACAACTTCTCCAGTAAATTTCTAAGCCTTTCTTGTGCCGCATGCGATATGCAAGCTGCAACGTCTGTGTTCGGTTCATCCAGTCCGTGTTTCATCATAATTTGCCTAATTTTCTGTTGCAGAGGTGGCATAGAACACAGCATATCTTCTTTACAAGAACGAATTTGTGTTCCCACAAACTCCGTTGATCCTAGAATTTTTTGTGTTTCTTCAGCCAAGTTTACGCCACCCATGGCTGCTACATCGTTGATATCATCATCGCCAGTATATGCTGAAGAAAAAGTTTTCTTTTCCTTGTCCTTGGCTGTAGGCTTGAGATTAGAAGGCACAGAAGGTTTCATCCCCTGGAATTTAATAGTCCCCATTGGTTGTTTCTGTAGAGGAACTGCTGTCCTCACTTGCATTTGTTGTCGAATTTGACCGGGAGCCAAGGGTCTCACCTGCTATTGCATTAAATGAATTAGAACAATTTCTTTATAATTTTTTCCAGGACAATTTCTTTTAAATACTGACTGGATACAAAAAAATAGGTGACATAAGAATGTCAAATATTTATGTAGATAAACCTTGTGTTGTTTGACAAAACTTAATACATGAATTGTTTTTCAATTTTTCAAAAAACATCAAAAGTTCCATGGAGTTTAAATTGTTCATGTGTGTTAATATAACTAGTAGTTTTGTTATTTTATAGGGAAACGTGTCGCGGTTGTGTAAACTGTTCAATGGAAATCAGACAATAAAGTTACTTGGATAAGTTATGGCCACCAGATAAATTGTATTTGGTAAAATGCTTATGATTTGTTCATATTGTATATTTTTGCATCATTCATCGAGAAAATCACAAGATGATTCAAATCATAAGCCTTGTTAACACTGACAGCACATGATAGTTCTTTCTGGGGACTAAACCAGTTGTAGTCTATATAAACAAATAATGATTTAAGCATATTTACTAAAAACAAATCAAGACAAAAATTCTGTGTCAGACGGATCAGAAATATATAAGATAACTGACTAGCTACATGCTAAGAATTACACTTTTAAAAGGCGATTGATCAGAGAAAAGAAACTTTCACGGCCCGGAGATTACCGTGTGAAAACTATTTTTCGGGTTTTTTGGCCTTAGAAAAGATAGGCAATGAACATTAATCACATCTGGCTACCTGTCCTCAAAGGTGCACAAACAAGGTCAGGTAATCCAATTAACAACGGGAAAAACGACTCGAGCACCAACTTGAGCACTGCGACCGTTACCACATCGCCTTTGATAATGTCTAGCGCATTAGTAGACGAAACGTCAGGCCTAAAAAACCTGCAGACCAAAGTCAAAATCCCGGAAAATAGCTTTCATACAAAAAAAAAACATTCAATTTAACCCATTTTAACTTGTCTGTCCCAGCAAGGAGAAAGAATTAAAACCTATGAAAATAGTTTATTAGATAGGAATACCAATTTATCACTTGCAAAACATATTTTTTGAAGGGTTAAATATTTATAATATTTACATTTTGCATTATACAATGAAATATTGAATACAATTAAGAAATATGACAAACTGAATTTTAAAATGAGTTTGAAAACACAGTTGTAGCTACAATTTTTTTTATTACTGGTAAAAGTTCTGAACTCATCTTTTAAAATGTTTGAAAAAACATGTTACAAATTCAGAACACAATATCAATGAATATAGGAATGTCAATGTTTTGATTGGCTTCCGGGTTTTACCGTGGTTTTCTTTGGTTATAATCTCCAANTATCTAATATGTATTTCACGAGGGGAAGACATTCGTCTGTTGGGATGTTAGGAAACATGTTTTTTACGTCGAACGATACAATACTCAGTAGAACCAATTAAAATCCAAAAGTGTTTCATATTTATTGAATTAATTATTTTTTTTCATAGATATGTGTACTCGGGTGGGCTATTACGAATTGTAAATTCAGTAAACAATTTTTGCCAACTTCACTTTTCACAGTTTCACAGTTTCTTTTTCTAAAAGCAGAATTGCCAGTGCATATGGATTAAAATATTTATCTTTGTTTCGTCCAGTGAATTTCTGTGTTTATATAATTTAGTTGTTGGTTCATGGAAAGGCAGTTTATAAATATATTTTATCGCTTTATTTTTTGTTTTCAGGGGTTCCAAAATTTGTATTGTGCCAGAAATAAAAACCTTATTTATTTTAGGGTTTGTATTCAAATTCTTGTTTCTCACCAATATGGACATCAAACTTATTAATCCTCTAATAATTGAAATAAAAAATGAAAAAAAGACATTTGTTATTCGAATGTGTCCTAAAGAAATTAAATACCTCATAGACAAATGTTTGTATAGTGTAAAGAAAAACGAAAGAATACATTTGCGTCATCATTGGAGTATGCAATAAAACACATACTTTCATATAGCATTCTTTTTCTGCCACAAGTGAAAAAGCTCTTGTTTGGATGATCGCTTGCACTCGGTACATCAAAAGTTAGTCTTCGCAATTTCTTAGATTTTTCGATGAACTGATGACTTTTGACGGTTAACATGTTGTTTATTGAAAAACTTTCACTTTCAATACTTTTATACAACAAAAATAGTTATTTCACAACTGTGGGCATTTCATATTTTACACTAAGTAAATTTTATATCGTAATTATAAATTTTGACCTCAATTAGGAATAGTTCTGTCTAATATTCTGCATACTGGAATATTCAAATTGACATATATCGAAGTTGGAATATGAAATATAAAGTATCAACAGAATAATTAATAAAGTGCTAATGAATTTTATGAAATTGTAACATATCAAATTGTAACCTAGGGTTTTCACTAAGGGTATTCAGAGCAGTAGTCACATCATTTTGTTTTCATTAGTTTGTTGATTCATATCGAATGCACACACTGATGTCACATGAGCATTGTATATTGGTTAGCACATGTTCTATTCTGTGTGAAGGATCCAATTAATTTTCTCCAGAACTCATTTGTATGAATGATTTAACCTATAAAAGCCCAACGAATTTATGTGCATACACTTTTTTATCACTCTTTGATATGACTTTTTCAATATAGTCCTATATGACCTATATAGAATAGATTTATTATAATAGTGATTATTATTATTATACCCACCCATTTGACTTTCAATTTTATGTTCATATTTCGTACTGCTGTTCTCTCTCTCCTACGATACATTTTAATTGCCCCACATTCGTTTTGACTTTTTCTTGTAATATTCTGTTAATTTCATCTACTTCCAACTTGCCACTCCTTATGCAGTACATATGCATTTATTTCAACTGCTAGTCTGTCCATTCACATCCTTTCTAAGATTAATACCCTATTCTGCATGTTAATCCTTTGTCCAACAATTTTTTGATTGAATGCAGAAGAAGTAGGTATATTTTCCCAAGTGTCCAGCTATAATATACAATTTACAGATTTCTATATTTTGAAAAACAAAATATGTAAATATGTCACTTTTACTAGAAAATCATTACCTATTTATTCTGCTGAAGAAGTGATTTTTGTTAAGATTAGGCCATATTATTCAGTATTGATTGAATAGTTGCTGTTACTGTAGAACAATGAGAATCGAGATTTCTGTGACTATAACTTTCAACTCATACTAATTGTGTTCCTCGACACTGTTTTTATACACTGAATGTTTATATTATTCTTTATAAACATGTGTATTATGTGTATGTAATAACATTTATTATCTATTGTAAACTTTTTCTTGTATATTTTCACAACCAAACATTTCCGATAGGAATTTATTCTTTACACTGTGAAGAATATTTTTAATTAAACTGCTTTGAATTGAAATACTTGTTTTTCAGGTAGTTTTATTCTATCTATAGTTAATAAATGAAGTGTAAAATATGTAATTATGGTTTTTCTGGATAGCATTCAATGTAGAAGTTCAGTTGATTAATCTTTCGTTTTTACAAAATATGAAAAAGCCAAAGCGATAATATTTAAATTATTTAATAACTTATTAGATTGGACGCAACCAAAGCCGTTCTCAATCAAACTATGGCCGCTGATATAAAAATGACAGCAATTTTTACAGTCGTTGTGCTAAAGGGTAGATATGGGAGTTTTAACAATATTTATTAAAAAGGATGTTTCCTATGAGGTAACTAACAAAAACAGAACCACAGTAAAAACTGCTGTCATTTTTATTTCAACCGCTGGTGATACCAAACTTCAATTGAAAACGGCTCAATTGATAAACTATACATCATCACAATGAAATGGGTATTTGTTTTTTTTTCTCCCTTCGTCAGATCCAGTGCAAACTATATTTTTTCATTATTTGTATTTCTGTAATGAACTGGACATCCAGATGCTTATGCCCAATTATTATTTTCTAACAGAACTATGTTCTATGGACCTGTGTCATCTGCCCTCATTAACATAGGAAGGAAGATGGTCAAGACATTTGTCAGTCAGCCATTGATCAAAAGATGGAGTTTTTACTACATTCGGAGTAATGGGGAGTCATAGTTTTACTGAAAATATTATTCTTTTATTAATAACTCGCAATTATTTTCTCCAATTTCGATTAAACCACGTGTGTTTTTATGAATAACAAGAGGCGTCTTTTCATGAAATTAAATTTGCCATTTCGATTCCACTGACGTCGCAAAGGGTTACTTGATTGATATTTCTTGTAAAAATCAAAGTAGGCCACTGTTTTCGTTATGTTTTATATTATTTGAAATAGCTGAACTTGAGTCGAAATTTATTTCAACCTTGCTGGGTTTGACAGGTAATTAAATCAAAAGTAAATAATGTATATCCCTTATTTCAATGCATATTCAAATTTTACTTCAATTCAAAAATATTAAAAACAAAAATTATAAAAGAAACATTCTTGAAGACAAGCTTCAATACGAATGCACTAAAAATGAAAAACTAATTTCTGTCATTGTTTGATCTAGGTTTCTCTGTTATTTATTAATTTTCATTATATATTTATTGCATGGGATCACCCCTTTCATAATAGTACGAACATAAAATATAATAAATATTCATATACAATTTAAAAAGTATGGAAAAGACTAAAAAATGTAACAAGTAAATTCAAGCACTTGAAAAGGAGTAAAAGCACTAAAATAAACAGAACTATAGATTATACAATTCAAAATACAGATATAGATGGTGAGAATAATATAATAATTTAGTGTAAAATTTATTTTCAACTCCCTCTCAGATGACATTTGAATTTTGATAGGTCTATACCTGTGATTTCTAGGTGTAGGTTCATTATTGAACGTTCCAAGTAAACGATCAATAGGAGAGAGCATTCAATAGTTTGTATGTACGTATGTATGGGAGGAAACGTGAAACATCATTATTTCTGAGAGTTCTCTTTAGCACATGAAGTGAATCCTCTCCAGAAGTTCTGGGCATGTTATCAGGCCATTAATTAATTTGTATATAAATATAAGGACAACGTTCTCTCTTCTTCTGTTCAACAAGTTTAGGTTGAAACTGTTCGAAAAAAATTATATAATTATGATCGTCAATGTGTATATTCATTTTATAGGCACGGAATCTCAGGAATTTATGTTGGACTCTGTCCAATGTAACAGTGATTTGCATAAAATTACCTGAAGAATATAAATTAATGATAAAGCCCTTGTCTCTTGATCAGTGTTGTTATTAGTAAAGTACACTTAGTGTGTGAATTAATATGTATGACGCCTTCATACATGTGTTCGCATATGAAGGGAGTTTCGAAACCATAAAAAAAATAAAGCTGTGAAATCACCAAAACCATCTTTACAAGGAAAAAACTGTGTCTGCTGATGGTAACCATAAACTTGCAGTTAGAAAAACAGTACACTCATTTTATTTTATTCAATTCAAGACATAAATACCGACCCTCGACAAAATAATGGGAGCCTTGAAAGAAGACTAAAGTATGTCTACAATGATAAGCAGAAAGAAATTGTGGAAAACTTAGAAATCAAATTTCAGCTGGAAAAAATCACAAAAGAAAATCGCTCTCAATGATGACATTATTTGTTGGAGACTTTACCTAAGGCAGATAAGAGAGTTTCGACATGAGGATAGAAAGGATTAATTTTGTGGAGAAAATTTAGCTTAACAAAGGATATACCGTTGGGAAGATAACAAAGTACTCAAAAGTATGCTGAAAGTTATATGAAATGTCATTTTGAACTTTGTTAATACGTTACTACGCAAAGAGAAATTTCCTTCAGAACTAAAATGAATAATAAGACCGAAACTAGTAATTTTTGTCCCATAAACACTTTACCGTTATTGGAAAAAATTCTAGTTATGTGAATATATACAGAATAATTCCCTCTAAGTGGAATATCAATCAGCGTTTAGATCTAATAGAATAGAATATAATATAGCTATATTTTCAGAAATGACAATCACTCATGTGAGACTTAATATTTTGAAATAAATTTCAAAATATCAATCTCTCTCAACTACCTACAGAATAGGCTCTGGTAAACTTCTATCAGAAAACAACTATTTCCCCAGCTAATGCCACGCTGGATTTATATCCGACTTGATTAACTTCAACACAGCTTTGCTACATTTATGGAACCTTCTGATAGAAAGATTGTTAACTATTAACAACTCCATCTCGTGAACAAAGCCACAAGCGGGGAACACAGACAGACAGACGTCTACCAGAGTCTACTGTGTAGGTAGTTGGGGGAGATTAATATTTCGAAATTTATTTCAAAATTCGCAGTTGGTCAGATAAAGTATTTCCATCATTGATTTCAAATGTGAAACACCCAATCATGTGATTTTCCAAGATGTATCAATATTATTGAACTCTTCTTTTGTGTTATAGCCACAACTACAGCTACAACTATAGCTAACTGCTACAAAGAGCTGTTATATTTGTATGTGTATTGTATAAAATATAAAAAGAAGGCTGCAACAATTTCACATTTCGCAATTTTTTATGAAATAATTCACTTTTTATTGATATTCCTTCACAAGAGAGGAAACTCTGGATGAAGATGAAAAACCAACGTGTTCGAGATGCAAGGAAAGGAGAAAATGCACAAAGTCCCTATCAATCCATAAATTTCCCCGTATTTTAGTAATTCATTTAAAAAGATTCTCTCCAACGGAAAGATTCAGAGACAAACTGAATGATGTCATCGACTTTTTTTTTAGAAGGATTAGATATTAGCAATTATGCAGCAGACAATGTGGCCCCTTGTCGTTATAATCTATATGCACTTTCGAATCACAGTGGGACTACTTGCAACGGCATTACACAGCATATTGCAGACACCCATATAGTGGCGCGCGGCATGAATACAATGATTCACATGTGTCCCCAATTTCATCTAATCCGCTTGTGAGTGAGGAGGCATATGTCCTCTTTTATGAACAGGAGAGAACGAAGCAGCACTTTTAAGGTGTTTTTTTTATCTTTTCTCTTAAATTTTGTTAATTTTCAATTGTTAATAAAAAAAAGTAGAAAATTACAAGTTTCAAAGTAAATTTTTTGAACTATATTCAATAAAAATTGTTGGGTTTTCATAGCCATAGCCTACTACAAGATATTTGATGGAATTGACCGATACTTGATGAAAATCCATAACATATTCAATAAACACTTTATTGCGTCTTTACACGCCAGAAGAAGTCATTATATGGCGAAACACGTGTTGCGTTTTTGTAAAAATGTTTAGTGAGAATTTCAAAATAAAGTGTTTTTTGAACAGGCTACTATAAGAGTATTTTGTCAGGTTTGAGAGTCCTACTAGGTATGAAACTTACCTTCAAAAAACCAATCAGACATGGCTGTGGCGAAGCATTCAACAATCTTTCCAGCTTGTCACAAAAATCTTCAGGTTCAACCTTATTGTCAATAAGTTCTTGAATCAAAGTTCTTACATTTCTTTCTACGGATTTAGGCTCTCTACTTGACAACTCAAGTAGATTTGCGAGGAACTTTCTACATTTTTCTTTGGTATTATCATTTGCAGGCCGCTGAAATGAATTTGTTGTATTTAGAGCAATCAAAATAAGTTTGAAGACTGTATCAAGAAGAATTCAACGTTGATTTTACGACACTGAATAACCTGCACAATTTAGTACGGTCCAAAGGCTGAAAACACATGAGGGGGATTGCGCGGAGTTGCCCACAGAACCGGCTGCTGCCTTCATCAAAAAATATAACTTGGGTTTACTTCTGGAAAATTCACATTCGTTTCAGCCCCACATATCAGCGACTGTTAATGAGTCTCTCAATATGCTTGGTTTCCTAAGAAGACGCAACTCAGACTTCACTGACATCAAATGCCTGAAAATTCTGTATTGCTCTCTGACAAGAACTCATTTTGAATATGTATCCTCCAAATGGAACCCATCATTTGCAAGCCGCATCCATATGTTAGAACAAGTTTAGAGGAAATTCCTAAGATTGGTTGCTTTTAAATCCAGAATTCCCCTGAGGACTACATATACAATTATCCACAACTACATTCTCTCACCAATCACCAAACACTCCTTAACAGAAGATATGATAAAGACTTGGAGATATTTTTCAATAATATCGATGGAATTGCACCTCGTTGCAGGTTTGGACTTTCAGCCTCTCCTACATTCACTAGAAATACAGTTACATTTTCTCAATCACACTGCAGAACTTGTCAGTACATTCATTCCTTTGTAACACCGGCAACAAAAGTGGCAAATAAAACGGACTTTTCTTTACTTCTGTATCCAACTTTCAGAGGCAACTGAATTCGGAGTGGAATATGTAGTTTCTGTGAATGTTTTCATGATAATAATCAGTTCGGTGATATATTTTCATGTTATATATGTGTATATTCTCGCTTGTGTGTATATATATATACACATATATAATGCTTTCTTTATATTGTTTTCTGCGTTTTTTTATTATTGTATTGTTGCAAAATGCCTTTCATTTAATTTTGTTTTTTTTTATTGTATGTATTGAGTAAAATGTGTTCTGAACCTGTGAACATATGAATTATAAAAGTAATAACATTTATTTCAGATTTCACTTGAAATATGTATTCAATGTAAAAAAATATGGATCCTTCCAATTTTTCCCATAATCAAATTGATATGATGAATCTTTCAATGTGCATACCAAATGCATTTTCCAAATTATAAAAAAAAAACTTTCAAAACTTTGAAATACAAAATAGCATGGCAGAGATCGAAGCGACTAGAAAGCAAATGGGGTTTGTCTATATGAGGAGTCATTTCATGTCATAAAAATGAACAACAATCGTTTCAAATGAGCGTAAGCCATAGTTTTCCAGGTGGCTAGCTGCTCAAACAAATGTAAATGTTTTATATAGCATACAGTTATAACAACTGTTGTCAACCTGTGACTGAATAGACACAAACTCCCTCATGTGTCTTCAGCCAACTAAGGGTACAAGAGACCCACATAAAATTTTATTTCAGTTTCAAAATTTCAAATGAGAGGATTTTAGTTAAGTTTTAGCAGAACTTCAGTTTTGAAGTTTATGAGCCTATTCTTACCTGAACCTGAACTTGTACCTGACCAACTTGTGCATGCTGGACAGTCTGCTGAGCTGTTGACGTAACGGTTGTTGTTCCACTTGCATTCACTGAATTATTTGCTGAACTAACTGTCGCCTGCACAAAAAAATTTATCTCATTATTTTTATGGATCTATATTTCAAAAATGGGGAGCACCCCCCCAACAGCAAAAATATCAGTGGAAAATAGTATCAAAAGCTAGGTTTCCTCTGTTGTTACTACCACTGAATGATCTTGATAGGCACAACTCGGAGCGGATTTCTCATACAACGAAGGTGCTGCTTGCTTATAAGAGGGAAAAAAAAATCTAAATATTGGTTAGGATCCATCATATGAAGAGATGAAGCTTTTGTTAGAGCAGTAAAAGGTAGAATGGCATAGAAAAGGATCTTTCAGAGACTTTTTTCCTCAACAATATTATGTTGGTTATTTCTGATTCTTCTTTAAATCAAATTGTTTGCTTGAAGTAATTATTTTCAATAGCTTATCCAGCCAACATGCTAAAGTTTCAACCAACGTTCAGATGAATTGCTAAGACCCTTTGAGCTAACCACTTCTGTTGTAAATATCAATGTCAGAGGTCAGTTTGTTATTTATTGATAGCTGGCTTAACCTTAATTAACAGTAGAGCCTTCTGAATCTTTATTATGTGTAGTTTTCTGTTTTTTCCTGATACATTGTCTTGTAAATTGATGTTTTTCCGAAGATAATAAGGTTTTATTGTTATCACTTTGATTGACTCAATGTTACATTCAACCTATCGGTATGCTTTTCCAAATAATTAAGTCTCCTCAGCAGCAACTAGTAAACCATATTTTTTTGGTTAAAGTTAGGAAGACAGTAGTGAAGATAACTATAGTCAAGAAAAAAGGATAAAACACAAGCACTACAGGAAAATCCGTAAGGCGCTCTCAGTGAATTAAGCTCTCATTCAGAAATGGGTAAAGTAAGATACTTGAAAGTATGAATCTTAGAGAAAATTCAGATTTCTTTGTTTTTTACTTGTGATGCACTGTTTGAAAACTTTGATGCAGTAATGAATATTACTGGAGTTTTTTCCCAACACCATACCGTTATTTTAACATCTCGACACGTGAAAAAATGGTTTGACTTTCGCGGCTGAGGTTTCCAGTGTCACTGTTTTTCGAGTTCGAAAGCCGTGGATTCTTGGAATTTCTTCCTGACGTTTCGCTGGCGCGAGTGGCTAACTTCTTCAGAGGTTTAACCATCATGGCTTGCTGTCCGATGACTAACTTTTAGGCTTTGTAAAGCGTATTTATACCTTGTCAGGTAACATTTAACAGTTTTAATTTTTAACAGTTTTAACAGAGGAAGATTAAAGCATTTTTAACAACATTTAACAGTTTTAATTTTTAACAGTTTTAATCTTCCTCTTTGAAGATGATCACTTGGTGATCGAAACACATGTCGAGGTGTTAAAAATAACGATTTGGTGTTGGGAAAAAACTCCAGTAATATTCAGGTAATCAGTTGTATTTGTACCTGTACTTGGACCTGCACTTGTACCTATACTTGGACCTGCACTTGTACCTGTATTTGAAACTGGAACATCAACAATCTTGCTGTCTGTTGTCATTCTGTTCGTTATTCTCGAATTCCTTGAAATGGGGTTCCATATTCGACTGAGGTTCACCGCTCCTTCTTTTCTGTTGAAATTCCCCGTGTGTTTGTGGATCTCTATTGCCTCCTGTACCAGTCGGCTATGGTATCCCTGGTTGGGGGCAATTAGTTCTGTGTTCTCAAACAAAATTATGTGGTCTCCTTCACTAAGTGCGTGTTCTGCCACAGCTGACTTATCCGCTTGGCCTAGTCTGCAGTTCCTTTTATGCTCTTTCAGTCTTGTTCCCAAGGATGACAACAGGCAGCAAGATTGTTAATGTTCCAGTTTCAAGTACAGGTACAAGTACAGATACAAGTGCAGGTACAAGTACAGGTGCAAATACAACTGATTACCTGACAAGGCATAAATACGCTTTACGAAGCCTAAAAGTTAGTCATTGGACAGCAAGCCATGATGGTTAAACCTCTGAAGAAAGAAATTCCAAAAATCCACGGCTTTCAAACTCGAAAAACAGTGACACTGACCTCGACACATGTTTCGATCACCAAGTAATCATCTTCAAGAGGAAGATCAAACTCAGTTTGTTAAAATAACGGTTTGGTGTTGGGAAAAAACTCCACTAATATTCTGTGTTTTGTTTTTAAATTTCATTTCCTTATGATTAAATATAACTTTGTGTTAATCATGATACTCACCGCTTGTACAGTTTGCATTCGAAACGTAACTGGTTGACCTCCAGCTTGTGAAGAATTGATGCTGGCTGTAGCTGGTGCCGGTCCTACCCTAAGAAGCTGGAACCCATTATCAGTCTTGACTAATAATGCTGCTCCCTGCTGACCAGGTTGCAAACCGTGAAAGGATTGTAAGGTTAATTGCTAGAACATTGACAAGCACACCTTTAGACAACACGTAGCCCCTGTTTGGATAGAAATCTCAAAACTTTTTACAAAATTATCAACTTCCTGCATTACACATGCAAAATTTATGCCAAAAAAGCTATCCATGAAGCAAATACTCTATATAATAAAGCGTATCATGCAGGAAGGAATATCAGATATGAATTATATTATCTCTTGAAGATACTGTCCTTCTCAATATGAGTGACTGTGATGACTGTGTGACTATAGATTCATTTGCTAAAAAAGAAAATGTCCCAATACAAAGTTTCATGAAATTTTTTGACACTAAAAGTGAGTTTATGTGGCAATAAGGAATAAATCTCAATCCTTTAGGATTTATGATAATTCACATAGTGTAATAAAAGAGTGAACAAATTTTCTTTGTACAGGAAATAGTTTAGAAACTGCTTGAAAAAACTACTTCATAATTTTTAATCGGCTTAGAAAATTATCAATGAGAGACAAAATAGATAAATGTAGAAAATATCGGAAAAATATTTAGGACCTTTTGTGTTGGCACTAATATGATAAACACCTCATAACAATTTTGCACTAATTGCTATACTCTGAGAAATGTTTGTTCAAAATAGAAAACATATTTTGTCTTTGAAAGGTTAAAAATATCCAAAACCCACAAACAAACAATTTTGTAAACTTCAAAGTAACAAGAAAAATGAATACACATTTTCTTATAAAGTGAATATTCAGAAATTATTTGCAGAATACTAGAAAATTGAACAATAAAATATTTTCTCAGCTTCCCAAAATTTCAAATAGAGTATTAAAAAAACCTTAAAATTGCTCAAAAAATAGGAAAGTGACCATTTACCTTTTTCTCAATCAATTATTTGATAGACAGGACTAATTTGTGTTTCGATTTGACAGATATCAACGAATTTTAAATGGATTTGAGCTGTTGTAATGAATGTAATCATTGATATCCTCATCCCCTTGGACAGGTGCTTATGTTGCAGAATACTAGTATGCTTACGTACCTACTGTTAAAGCAAAGCATAATTTCCTTTCGATGTATTTTCAAAAACTACAGAACAATGAATAGAAAAAGTTTTTGTTGAAAAATCAAGTAGTAAGTTAGTGTAATCCATTTGATGGTATTATATTGAAAAACTGTACTAGACTAACTCGATAGAGAGAATATATTTAAAATGAATGTACTGAAAACACTTTCCCTACACAGCAAAACTATTGCACTTTCTCTTAATTACTTTTTGGTCATCTTCTGATGAGAGTAACTTCATTAGCAAAACATGTGATCTAGTTTTGGTGTGTATGAAATGTGTTTTCATTAAATTCTCTAAACTAATCCAATAGGTGGATCTACTACTATTAAAGGAGGTGGTAGAACCAAAATGTAAACTTCATTTTTGTAGTTACAGTTACCTAATGAAAGCAGAGTGATTCAAACCTCCTTTTGAGACCATAAGTGACTAAATTTGTAATTTTTGAGGCAAAACCGAACAACTTTGAGCTAGTGGTTGAAGGGTTAATTATCCAAAAAATTTGAATCCGCACATTGACATTACTATACTACCTTTTAGTAGTCGTGCTGGGTCTTTCAGACAGAAGGTAGACAGCTCTTGTGATTAGAACCTTCCTAACTGTTCTTTAGGACAATTCAGGGTCGATTTTACGAAGCATGTGATTAAAACCAAAACTGATTTGTGGGGTGACTAATAATTAATATAAACCGCAATGTATTTTGACAAACTTTTTGAACACTCTTCAGTTCAGAAGACAGATAGAAAAGCAAAAATCTACAAAATATAGCTATTTTACAGTCATTTCAATAATTTAAAAATGAGCACTTTCAACTAATACTATGCAGTACCTACTAAGAATTATAATTGCAGAAGCCCAAAATGTGACCAGATCGTGAAAGGCTATTTTGTAGTAAAAAGTAAATTGATCATTGAATATTGAACCCTAGTTTTACAAACCAGATCGACTACTTGTATACAATTTAGTTTGACAACTAGAATGTTAATTCAATAAACTTTATGAAATAATTACCTACATAGAAACCAAAGCAGTTTCTGAAAGATACAAAAACATTGCCAAGTAGGTTCATGCACATAGTATTTAATATAGCTCAATGTGATTTACTTATTTAGCTGATGTGAAAATATACATATTACTTACAGTTCAGGTAACTTCAGCATTATAAGGAACTTCCATTATTATTATTGGTATTAGTTGTTGTCACATCAATAAGATTCATTTCCTATTTCATTTTTCAGAACTGTTATATTTTCAATTTTGTCTGATAAACCACCTTAATTGTTGTAAAACGGTGACACGTGACACAATGTTCTTGTATTCGCTTCTCTTCTCTATATAAAAGTGATCTGTTTCATTACTTATCTATTCATAAACTACAGGAACAAATTAGAGTCTATTATTAACAAGTGAATTTTTTTTAATATTGAATTTCTGTGATAAGTAAAAAACATAAGTGTGTCAGTAAACATAAGTGTGCCGGAATACATTGAAGAATCTCAAGGTATGGATTCAAATTTAAGGAATATGAGCCCTTTTACGAATAGTTCATAGTGGTTCAGTTTAATTAAAAAAAAATATATATATCAGTAGTCATAAAATACAGTCTCAGAGAAAGGGTTGACTAACCATAGGTTATGTATTAGTTGTTTGGCAATAGTGAAACATCTTAGGGTTACTGCGGTTCACTCTTCTATTGTTAAAATAATTAAGCAATGAGTTAGTGCAATCTACACATTCCTTCTTCCAGAGCAATGCCCAAAAAATACATTATAAGGGATCACAAAATATTATTTCAAGTAACCATTATTCCCACATTATACACATTTAATTACACAAAATACAACCAGCAGTGTTTGAATATTTTTCGAATTTACTCAAAACAACAACAACAAAAGACAACTAAATTGGCCATTTACTAAATACTCCTTTGACAGTACAAATAAATCCAATTCAAAAATAGAGATTTGATTTGTTATTGTTTACATAACCTAAGAAATATTTCATGAATTTATGATGAATAACTGAAAAATAATTGAATAAATGACTATACAGTTTTGGAGATATTTTTCATAATCAAGACTGTCAAACAAGTATGCTTACTGATACTCTTTATGAGGCACACAAAATTTGAACTGTCGAATAGGAAGGCTAAAGAGTTAGGGCATTAGTATTTAAGTTAGAAAGCTGTATACTATTAGCGTACAGGTAATTATTAAGCATGGATGGTGAATGCAGTGTCTTCCCATTCGACTTTCTATCTTTAACTTACTGGAGCTCCAGGACGGGCCCCGACTAAGTGAGGTGTACTGAGCACTACACGAGCTGGTTGTCCTTTCTGCTGCTGTGTGGGAACTCCAGGACGCACATTGACAACCTGGAGGTTGGAAAGGATATTTGGGGATTGAGTGCTAGGGCTACCTACATTATTAGCCTGGGCCACAGAAGAAGTCACGTTCATTGGTAAAGTCACTAAACCAGGGGCCCCAGGTGCGCCACTAGTCTTCAGCACCAACGTAGGTTGTTTAGTTTGTATGGTCTGTACATTACTTGGATTGGTCTGCAACACCGTCTGTTGGGGAAGGCCTATAGTGCCATTAGGTAGTGACTGATTCGGCAAAGTAACTCTATTCTGTAAAATGGTTCCCGAACTAGTCATGACTTGGTTGGCTTGTCCCTGCGTGTATACTATCTTGACGCCCTCACTGGTTTTGTTTGGCTCAATAGTTGCACTTGGGTTTATGTAGCCTGTGGTCACTGCTCCTGCGGCGCCGCTAATGATCATTGCGTTGTTCGTCACTTGTTTGCTTCCATCGCTGGTGTTCATAGCACTTATCGAGTCACCGTTGGCGATAGTCCCATGTTTCTGTGGGACAACAGTCCCGCCGTTTGATATTGCACTATTTATATGATTTTGATTGATCACAATAGCTGAACCTGTTTGACTTGACGTAGGGGGTGTGGAAGTGACAAGCTGATTCTCTAAGGAGCCCACTATTGCACTTACTGCCGATTCATCAACATCTGTACTTAGAGCTTCCTCGAGAAAGCTAGCTGACGCCATTTTCCGAGACCCAAATGTAAACTGAATTGCGCATGCTCCGTCCCTCAGGCATTCTTGCCAACGTCTGCGCGTTTGCTGTTGACAAGGCGAAGGCAGAATAGCATATGAAACAAAACTTGAAATCGTACTTCTATAAACTACTCAACCTGTTTTGAATTATGTACTTTCGGGGGCGAAATATTTTACAACTCCCAACAGTCAACCACAATCGCTCAGTGTAGTAGTAATAGAGTAGTAGCCTTTTAGAAGCAAAGGCGTTTAGAACTTGCTTATTGCATTGTCATGACACATGCTCCTCTAGGGCACGTCATCGTAGGCGCGAAATTTAATTTTTATTGACCTCCATTGTAGACTTGCAAATGTTGGTATGAAAGCTCCTCTTTTTGGATGAAACAATTTCAAATAACAATACATGTATGTTATAATTGGTATATGGTGTCGTTTCTGATCTGTAGAGGCAAAAACAAACACTTTCATTACCAGGAAATGGATCGATTTGTAGATGAGTATTATAAAATATTTTATTCCATTAGCAAGTCCTTGGTAACAGTGTCGATCGGGATATCTTTTTTGTTTTTCCATGTTAAGTGGTCGAACATAAGACTGAATTAATAAGGGATATTTTCAATCAAATTATTTGGCATATAGATAATTATGGAGGTTAAGGACCAAACTTGTGGACAAGCTCAGTAACGAAAGAAATCTATATCAAATAATACTTATCAAATATTCATTCAATGTAAGGGTTATCTAACAAATATGAAGGCAGTCCATTTACAAAAATATTCATAAAAATATTGAAAGTTTTTTCGTTCCATTTACAACTGTTCTTATCATATAGGTTTTTCTATAATAATCAATATATAGTTCAATTGAATTTTTCCTGATAAATTATCATAATTTCATTGATATACAAATTATACAATTTACATATTCAACCACATAAAACCAATATTTTTCTTAGTAATAGGTTGCTAAAGGCCCTTCAATCAGCATGCTATTTTGTCAGAGTACCTAGAATGAGGAACGTTGATTTTCTGTTAGTTCATTTCATTTAATTGGGCTTTTTTACTACGCACCATTCCGACAACAAAATGGAGAATGATCATTGTCAGTGTTGCCACAAACCTTTCAGAAAAAGTACTAGGAGGCCAACGAAAAAGGTAGTAGATCGAATCCATCACATATTTGACCGATACTTGATGAAAAATCATGTGAAATATCTTCTAATTATTATATGTGAGCGCTTTCGATAGCAAACTGTGCCATCATCGCAAACTGTTGGTTATTAAAGCTTCAAATACTTTTTGTGGACAAATTTTAATATTAAAACATTGAAAATTTTAAAATAAAGGAAAACTAGTTGCATCAATAAATGTGCGGTAGGCTCCTATTGATGACTGCGTTCGCTTGTGCTGTTTTCTGGTTTTTCGGCAACCAAGAGTTGCCATCTTATTTGCACCTGGCTACACCGCGATGATGAGGCCAATAGTCAGCGACACGTATCCGCGATTTGACCTTCCATTTTCTAGAGTGCTGGTCGGTCCAAATCCTTCTTTTTTGATTTCAGTCATAAATCTCCATCGCAGCGGTGAATTGGCGCAGTGGTAGTGCGCCCGAGTCACGACTGGAAGGACGTGAGTTCGATCCCAACCTCGACCAGATATTTTTCCTGAGATAATTTATCTAGTTGATGTTCGGATGATTCAGCAACGTTATATAGCTGACGGACTACAAATAGCCATGATGCTTCCTAGGTGGCTCGGGGAGTTACTAACATTGCCTACCCAGGACACGAGGCTAATGACCAATGTAGTCGATGCCGATGACATCAAGAAAAAACACTCGATTGCGGTCAGCAATTTGAAGGCAACCTGCCAACTCTCCAGGTCTCGTCGTTCAAATTTGAAGTAACTTTTTCCTGAAATCATATATTCTCTTATATAATGTTAAAATGTTTAATTCTAAATCGTGGTAACCAAAAGATATTCTTTTGGATGACAAATGTCACTTTTCCACTTCACATTGCACCGGGTAAACTTTTAACCACAGAATTTTAATTTAAATATAAGTCTAAGTTATAGTTCTGTGTTTTAAACGAAGGATTAGGGACAGTGACGTCATAATATGGACTCGACAACCTGGCCATTGAAGATATAACATTGACTCCAACAACAACGTCAGATACGTCACGATGTTACATATTTATTTCCATTGTGATTTGTTTTGTCACATGGTGCTATGACGCAGTGGCCAAGACGTTGTGTAATCCGCAGGTAGAACATGTATATATAAAACTGGCATCAGGACCAGAACAAATTATAACTACGATCAGGGAACACGAATTCAATATGTCTCAATTTATAAAATATTTTGTTTCAACAGTTATTACCCGAAAGGAAGTTATGAAACTTGCTTGAAATTACAAATGAAACTAGCTGTAACTTATTAATAGAAAGGGCTATGGGCTACCGATTCAAACCCATAATTTTTTTATTTAAAAAATTCTGACCGATATGCATACATTTTTGTTTTAAACTGCATTTTTTGTTTCTATCAATATTTTTTGATAATTTTTCACATAAAATGTATTGATAATTCATATTTCTTTTAGAATACGTCTTGATATTTTCATATGATTGTTACAATTAACTTTTTACTTGTAAATTATACCAGCACTATACCAGTAATTTTATTCATTGTTTATAACTTTCATTTCAATTTAAAATGTTTCACCATATTCTTCATTCATTTCTGTTTCATGTCATAATAATTCGATGTTTCAGTAAATTACCTATTTTTCATTTTGTCGGTATTTTTCTCATCTTTAACTCATTCTGGATGTTTTTCTCCTTTTATTTTTCTCAATAACTCTCCATTCAATTTTTGAATCTCAGGTTTAAAATTTGTGAAGAATATTCTTAGACATAAATCGCAGGCATCTGACATTTTTTAATTTAATTTTCAGTCATATTTTTTTTATTTTTTCAATAATAATAATGTATTCAATTTTGTCACATTTGGTATACTTTAATATATATCAGTCTAAGCTCATAGAAATGGATAGGTACAGTATTTAACAAGAAAAAATATTTTGATTTCACACAGAGAACATAAAAAATAGTAGAATTTGGATGTCTATAATCGAAGTGCAATACGGGTTGCGTTTTTGTAAAACTATTTAGTGAAAATCTCACAATGAAGTATTTTTCGAATACGTTATGAATTTTCATCAAGTATCGGCCGATTCCATCATATATTTTGATTAGAAAGTCACTTCCCATTTGGAATCAACCTGTTACTTAATTTGGCAGAATGTGGTATACATTCAATAGCTTATGCGAGGTGTATATAGCCACATCTTTCTCCATAATACAGTTACTGCCACGTGTTAGTGCAGTGTGTGTATATTTTCTGCTCTTATATAATAGTTATTTTGTTGAAAATGCTGAATACTACAATTTTGTGAATTCAAAATTATTGGTTTTGCATTGATGTACCTACCGTAATAATGTCCATATTTTCTACAAAGAATTTAATAGGGATAGTAAATTAAAATAGATTTACTCAAATTCGACATCTAAAAAGTCCATTGTGACAAATTTATTTTGAGGATTCTCATGCTATTATTATTTTTAAGTATTTATGTGTTTTTCTGAATCAAATAATCATTACTCAATAATTGTATTTTTTCAACAACACCAAAATTGTGTTCGGATTCACAAATGTTGGAATTTACATCATAACTGGATTTCAAAAATTCAGGTATGAGAATCCAATTTCGATACTATAAGTAAATATTCGATTGTTAAATTTCATTAATTTCTGAATATTTCAAAAGACTTTTTTAGTAATCAACATTTCTATTGCAAACCCATCATGTTTGTTTGAAGGTGATTGACAATGTTTCATGATGAATTTCACTAGTTCGGACTTCCATTGTCTACTATATAAAATGATTTGAAATCCCTGAAACAACTTATTTATTAATCGAAGCAGTTCTGATATGTACTTTTTGGCATGTCCTTGAGCTCTCTCAGCGATCTTCTCAATCGTCGCAAAACGCTGTCCTTTCATTGGTCTCTTTAATCTTGGGAACCGGAAAAAGTCGCAGAGAGGCATGTATTATCATGATGCAAAAGCCATGCATTGTTTTTCCACAATACCCGACGTTTTCTTCGTATTGCTTCTTGCAAGCGACTCCTTATTGACTGTACGACCATGTGGCAAGACCTCCTGATGCACTACACCACGGTAATTAAAGAAAACGGTGAGCAAAAACTTTGACATTTGATCGAACTTGGTGTGCTTCTTTGGTCTTGGCTCTCCTGGGCTTTTCCATTAGAACGATTGGACTTTGGTTTCGATGTCATAACCATGTACACATGATTTGTCACCAGTTACGACCCGTTTCAGCAAATCTGGATCGCCGTTGACGTCATTCAACAATTCCTTAGCGATGCTCATGCAAAATTCAGCTATACTAAAATGAACTTCGCTGCCACACGCTTCATGCTCAAAATTTCCAAAAAAATTACATGGCTTGAGCCTGCCGATATCCTCAGCAACTTCTCTAATAGTGATTCGACGATTCGCTATAACAATTTTCTTCACAAACCCAAAAAATAGAGAATTGGGGATAAACTGCTTGCCAATCCCAACGGGTCTAGATCCTTCTGGTTGGTAGCTGAAACTGTTATTCAAAACTTTACATACTCCACAATTCCACCACTAACACATGCGGATGGTTCAATTGCAATAACAGCCACAGAAAAAGCAAATCTACTAGCTAAACAATTTTCGTCCCACTCCACAGTCGATTTTCTGGGAAAGACAGCACCCACTATTCCCACATTAGAATCCACAATTCCGTAAATTACTGGCGAATTTTGAAACATCTCAATATTAAAAAGGCATCTAGTTCTGATAAGTGCCCGTTATGCAAAGGCTGCTTCTCAAAATCTTGGAACACTTTTCCTAACCAGAAAACTATATACAACCCAGCAACTATTGATGCTTTATAAAGGTAAGATCAGAATTTCTTTGGGGTACCTACTGTTCTCATGTATAGAGCATCGAAGAAAGAAAGGTTGGGAGTTTGTCTCTCTTCTACTTTCACGGGAAGTATTCAAGTGACTTGGCACAGTTGATTCCACGAAGAGCGGTGTACACATATCAGAAATACGCGACGGATTGTGGCTGCTTATCGTTTTAAGCTTCAACTCAGTACACCTCGAACTTCACTGTTTAAGAACTATTTCTAGAGAACTGCGTTTATGTGGAATAAACTTCCTGAAAACGTTTTTCCAAATGAATATAACCTTGAGCAATTCAAATCCATTGTAAATCGTTACTTTTGCACAGGTCTTTTGATTTGTCTTTGAAAAAAATTGCTCATTAAATGTATGAAGCCCATGAAATTTCAATATTCACTTTATTTTTTCAACAGACCCGTATACTGCCGATCTACCGGAACTGAAGTTATCATCTTTATTATTTTTGATAAATTTACTCAAATTCATTCGTTTGGCAGGCTTGGTCCTAATCTTCTATAAAAAAAGCGATATTATTGGTGGGATTACTAAAGTATAGGTTAATAATCTCCTATAACGCGACAGCTGATTAACGAAAAAAAAACATTTTAAGAACAGAACAGATTTTTAAACGCTTATTATCATTCTATGAAATCGCATAGACTTGGTCCAATGCTTGATTCCATAGCTTTTTAGATAGAATTGAATCAAACTGCAAAATAAACAGAGACGTTATTTTATTCACTTTTTCAAGAGTCAATAAATTATATAATACAAAAATCAAATTTACATGCTACATACATATCTACATCAAATAAACAAGGGTCGCTCCTAAACACTGTTTATTAGTAGTTTACAAAAATAAACTATCAAACTATTTTCAATAACAGAAAAGATGATGAATATTCAACCTACATACTATTTACACCTACAATGTGCAGAATGAATTTGTACCTAACCCAGAATATATACAGTGCATTGCAGATAAAGCCTTCATTTATAAAAATTATCGAACATATCTAGCATGTTACTAATTCAGCCAAGAATTACTATTAGAGTAATGCCATGCAGCTTTTCACTCTCGTGATGCTAATGGAAAACTATATCTATACCAATAGAAGAAATCGGGAATTTTTGTGTACTGCTGATAAGTCTCCTCAATAACTTTTCAACTATTATAAAAAAAAACAAGGTTTACGAACAGGTTAATTAATAATGTTCTCATTACTTTCTCACTTAACTTCAATGATGAAAGTTGGGAGGCACAAGAAACACTGGCTACAAAGAAGTTATGGAAAAAGGGATTGTGCTTCAATTGAAGACATCACAATCCAATATTATGATTTAAAATAGTATTGAAACGGTTAATAATCATTGACATTACAAAAATTGAATATGAAATTTTGTCTTTCACTCTTCCTTACTTTGTCTCTTTGTAATTATATTCAATAAAGATGTGAAGTACAGAAAATTATGGTAGTGTTTTATTTTAACCACGTTATTCAACATAGGAATTTTGGCTACAATTTTCATAGAAGCCACAAAATGATTCCAATATTACTGTATATACAGTAAAATGGGAAGAAAAAGGCCCATCTTTGTTTAAAGCACCTGGCACAACCTGCTGCGTCCATGTCTTCATTCTCTTCACATACATATCAGTAATATTGATATTTCGATAGATATTCCAATTTTTTGTGAAACAAATTTGAAGTATAATTATAAATCCCTCACATTTGGTTTAATAAGGTATCATTTTATTTCTGAATTTATACTCATAAGTTGTAAAAGAGTTGCTAAGCCAGTGGGCACTCGAAAATATATTTTCCGCCGTCGTATTTTCATGTTGCTTCCATGTGGAGTATACTTGAAATGTAGTTCCAAAAAGTGGGGTATCACAAGCTACTTCAACACAGGGTGAAAATAATACTTGAATGATTTTTTTTCTCAAAAACGTTAAATCAATTTCATCTTTCTTACATTGAAATACTCATTTTCCATTAGAATACGGACAATTTTAGAATTTTCATATTTTGGTAATAACATTTACTTTGAAAAAAATGTATACACCTTACAAAAACAAATACATCTCATGTCTTTTTGATTCCAAGAGAGCACTTTGACATTCTCAAAGAACTGCATTTTACTAGTGGGTGTTACCAACCACGGGTACAACAATTTCAATTTTTTTTAGAAAAATGTCTTCAATCTCATGGAAATTACAGCTTGTTTTCCTCTTTTGTCAATATTTGGGAAAATAAAATTAATATTAAGAGCACACATGCAGCAGTAATATTTGTTAATGGAATACTTCATCAAGAGATGACTAAAACTAAACACTTCAGCATCATCTCCTGATGATGCTGAAGTGTTTCAATTTACATTTAAGATATTAATAATTTTCAGGAAATGCATCTTTATATATTCAGGTTAACCTTATTCAGAACGAAGGTACCACATATATGAAAAGTTTTTTTTATATATCAATACAATAAATGGTAACAAAATTATCTAAGGATGCAACATTATTGAAAACATTACAGCAAAAAATATTACTATCAAGGTTGAATCAGAAAGCTCAAAAAATAATGAAGCTGAAAAAAAATTTGAATGAAGACTGGCCTATGAATCTATCAATAAAACTGTATCAAAAAAGTAATTTCTTCCTTTCCTTGAAGTGACATTGGATAATTGATCTAATATTTAAGTTTTCAACAATGATGCAACTAAAGTAGGTTATATTACATGTAATGGTTAGAATTGATATCGTCCTGAATTAAAAAATTTTACAACCACAATTACATGAAATTAATAGTTCTGGAAATGTTTCAGTCTGTATAATGAAACCGTAGACTTCCTATTACCGAAAGAAATGTATCCGCTTCCAGGAGAAAAGTTCAACACATTAATATGACCCATTTTTGTTTGGAAATTTGGAAAATTATTAAAAACTGTACCAGAACCTATGTGGAACAGTTTAACAGCATTTTGTATTTCAGTAGAAGCGAATGCCAGGATCTCAGAAGAAGGGTTGAACTTCAAGTCTTTCACGCTAGTAGTTAAATTCATTATCGTTTTTCTAGGTTTTGGTATATTAGACTGCAAAACATCCTCCATGTTATAGAGGTTCACGACACCCTGAGCAGAACCTGCTGCTAAGTATTGATTCGAAGAAGATATTGCTAAGGTGGTTCCCTGAAGACATCCTTCGTCGGTGAATTTGTGAATCACTCGTCTCATATTCATATCCCACACTGTAACTTCCCCAGTGTCACCATGACCAAACAATAAATTCCCTGAAAAGAAGGAGAAATATTCAAAAGGCAAATTGTGATGATACTAAACCTCTCCCATAGGAACAGGTATAGAAAGGGACCCTATTGTTTCAGAAAAAAGGTGAGAGAGTTTGAATGGAGAGAGAAGTTTACGTGATGGAGGATATTTTCAAAATAAATCTTATTGAAGCATCACTATCAGATGCAATAACTCTATTTCACATGATCAGGCTGTGAAACTAGGTGCATCGTAAGATAAAAACCTGAACTTCTGCTATTTCTCTCTTTCTTACATTTTTTTATAAACTACCGAAATTATTTGAATAGGTAGGAAGTTATACCATATTTCACTACTTTGGTTTTTATTCTCGTGTTCTCGGTAGGCAGTTAATAACTCCGCGAACCACCTAGAGAGCATCATGACTATTCGTAGTTCGTCAGCCATGTAACATTGCAGAATAATTCCTATTCAACTAGATTATTTCTATTGAGAAAAATATCTGAATGAGGGACAATTGACCGTTATCAAAATTTATTAGTGTGTGTGTGTAGGTAATATATATTTGAATATCTAATATATATTTTTGTCAAAAGAAAATAGAAAATAAGGTGAGTAAGTTTCTTCAGTTATTTTTTTTGTTGTCAATGGCATCAACTGCTACACAGTCATTTGCCTCGTGTTCTGGGTAGGTTATATAAATATATATCCCCAATCCACCCGGGCATTATCATGGATAATTGCAATTCCTTCAGCCTTGTAAGCAGAATTAACCCAACCAACTATAAAAATTGTCTTGAAAAGCTAGATTTTAACTCATGACCGTTAGATCACAAGTTGGGTCTACTACCACTTGCGCCGATTCCTCACTTTCAGTGATGTTGAATGCGCATTCAAGTCAATCAATGTTAGGTAGGTCCAAAGTGAGTGGGTCTATTCGACCCTCCACCGCAACCCATAAGGGTTTATTGTTGCTCACACCTATTCACACCCGGCCAAATAAACCCAGCTTCTTAACGAAGCCGATTAGTTTGTATGATGAGTGGTTTTCAGGTCAGATGGTGAGAGTACGGATCTGCCGAACTCTAAGAACCTGATTCGGCCCCCAGCGGGGCAGGCACAAAGTATATGCTCTGCCGTTTCATTATTTTCCAGACAGAGGCAACACACACTGTCTTCCAACAGTCCAAGTCTCTGCATATGATGATTCAAATGACAGTGACCTGTAAGAAGGCCTGTTAGACATCATAGTTTATCCCTACTGTAGTCCAACCAATGGTAATCAAATGGATCAATGAGTGAAAACACCACTAAATGCACATTTGACAACCGAAGTAATGTCCATACCTAAATGTTGACTCTTTACTATAAACATTTTTTATAGAAATATCTCAATTAATAATTAAATAAACAGTAATAAAATCAACATACCTGTAGGGTTATAAGCAAGAGCAGATACTTCAGAGTCTTGTTTCAAAAGCCCTATTTGTTCTTTGGAACCAGATGAAAGCAGATGTACTTCTCCCCATTTTCCTGTAGCTGCTATACACTGGTTATTTGGTGAAACGATGAAATTTTTGAACTGAGTCAATCCTTGGGGCAGTTTGATCTTCAAGGACTTACCAGCAAGCAGATCGTAACTAAAAATATGAGACTTTCTAGAGCCTAGGAGAGCTTCTTCCCCATTTTTTGTAAATTTTGCACAAATGATTGGATATCTCTCAAAAGCTACGCTATGCAATTTATTATTGCGTTTACCATCCACTGCAAATAAACTAGCAATGCCACTATTGCCTGCAGCTAATGCCACACTGTACGATGGATGAAATTCAATAGAATTAATGTAGGGTCCTTCAGAATAAGTTTCACAATTCAGGTCTTTAACTTTTTTGAACTCTAGCAGATTAGGAGGCAACAGATCTTTAGAACCCTTCTTTAAGAAACCACAACTTTGCAGTATTTCTTCATCTGAGTCTGATTCGGAGTGTTTACGTTTGTTGAGAGAAGCCCACTTTGGAGTACCGACAACAGCCTGAAACTTCTGCTTAAGCAAGTTAGAGTACTGGTTACTGCGGCTGTTGATACCTCCGGAAGGTAGTCTTCGTCCTTGGGCGTCCAATGCTTGTCCCACTTCAATTCCATCATCGTCTTCATCAGTCCAAGCAGGTTTACGTATATTCTCATCACTGTCGTTACTGTCATCTTCGCCTACTCCAGAATCAATGTTCGAGTGCGAAGGGCCGGCTTCTTGCTCGGCTTCTTCGAGACATTGCAGAAAACTTGTGGATCCTCCAAAAAGGATATGTGACAAATGTTCTTCTTCAGCTTGAGCTTTCTCATCAAACGGTCGGAATTTCGATTTAGGAATATCTATCTCATATTCTACATCTTCTCTGGCTTCAACATCATGTTTACGTTTTTTATTTTGTTTTACTTTCGGCATTTTTAGTAAGATATAAGTCAATCAATATAACAGGAAACAAAAAAGCAGACAAAAGACAGAAATTGAGAAAACCAGAAAGTTGAGACTTTCTTCTTCTTCTTTTTCCATTAATAGCTTCAGCTGCCAGGGCTATCCAGCCAGGAGTTCCAGGATCATGTTGCTTCTACAGGTGGAACCCACACTAAAGTGGATCTGAGTTGGACCCAAACCCCACCGATTTTGCGCTATAACAAAGTTCGACTGTAGTTTGAGGTCAGTTAACAAGCAATGTCCGCCTGCACTAAAGTGTAAGCACTAATGTGAGGTGATGCACTACGGTTACGTGTATGGACACTACGATCAGGTCATAATTGGCGAAGCACTGCATGCGAGCGAAACTGCCATTCTTCTTCTTATTTCCCGTCTTTCCGGACTTATTATCAAAGTCAAATATCCAGTTTCGATGAACAGAAAAACAATTTCGAAATAATTCATATAAGAAGGAGGACTTAATACGTCTTAATACGACTTAATGAATGAGATTTGAATGAAGTTATTCTTGACTAATTGAATAAATGCAAATTTAAATTCTGGTTAACGACTGAAGGTAATATGTAGCATATGGCAGGATGTATATAACTGGATGTTTAGTCAAAAATATGTTCAAATAACAAACTTACTCTGGGAAAGGTTTTCATATAATAGTAGTTTCGAATTTCGTGTAATTCAATGTTTATATGGAGATAACTGTTTCGAGAGGGGTTTTTTTTCAGTTTGTGTCTGAAAGTTACTTCTTTGATCTACACATCTTTGTATATAATTAGTTTTTTGAAATCGATTGATTTCTACCTTTCTTTGGAAGATTCCTAGATTTTTTGTGGATGGAGAAGTAGAAGTAGAAAGGTGTACTTCTTCTCGCACCTGAAGAATACTTTCAAAGGGAAGGAGCACACCGAAAGAGAATTAGAGAAGGCCATACGACCCGACCCAAGAAAGACACAAGTACAGCTAGATTTGCGAAGAATAAAAACTCAAAGTCGTTTCTACAATTCAATATCACCATCAGATGTTAGAGCGGTAAAACCATTAATAAGTACATGTTTCGAACCTATATAGGTTCATCATCAGCTAATATTTTAAATTCTACAATAAAAGAAGAACAACGTAATACTAGTTAATACAATAATGCAATAAAAATACTTACATGGAGAAGGAAATATTTTACTTTATTTTATAACAGAGAAAAGAAAATTTATTCATTATTAATGAAACAAATAGTCACCATGATATATCGATAATGAAGAAATATTTTTAATATAGTAGAAAAAAATAGAAATTTTTATCACATCATATTTTTCAGTAAATGAACAAGAGGAGAAACACCACATAGAAATTGACTCGTGTTCTAAGTAAACAGATCCCATACCATCTATACATGCCATCTTGTTACAAATTGGGGGTTTATGGAAGATTAGGGAAGGGGGGAAGTATAGTTAAAATTAAGAGAATTGAAAAACTTTTGGCAATCGAAGTGTACTTGTTCATTAAGAGATATGACATAAGGGTTAAATAATAGCAGAATCAATTTCAAAACTTTCAAGTAAATTAAGTAAAGTTCCTTTTTGGCAGACGTGTAAAATATCTATATCAGAATCAATATCAAAACTATGCTTGTAATTAAGAATGTGGTTAGAAAATTAACTTTTGTGTTATGATCATCTAAGTTTAATTTCTGAAATTATCAATTAATTTAACATGATCGAGAACTCTTGTTTTAATTTTTCTGCCACTTTGTCCGACATCTGAAGTAGAGTTTATTGTATTCGTTTGTAGGACTAAACTGCAGTAACGTTGGTTACAAATACAAGTGATATAAAAAAAAGGAAGTTTCAATTCCCATTTTTCATGATGATCCCCTACCACCCCTACTACATAGTAACGGTTACATCCGTGAATTTATAGCCTGAAACTTTCAATCTACATATAGGATTTTCAAAGAACTGTCCTATTTCTGTAGTATACTTGGACATTTATGTGAGAAATATTTGATAAGGCTTATTGCCAAGTTGTTCTTAGGGTGATAACAGGTTTGCAGGGATTTTCAATAAAATTCAATTATGGTTAATATCATGTGTCATTTATTTGTCCAACTGTAATAAATAAACATATGTATTTACAGAAAACACACAATTTGACACATGTAATGAAAATCGAAATAATCTTATTTGTGATATGTATGTAATCAAACACCTATATAAAAATGTCCACATGAGAAAGATCGTTTTCTTACACAGTATAAACAGTGAATAAATGCCTATTTCACAATGAAATTGTTTTTTTTGGAGATGTGCCTCCGTTCCACAAAAGTATAATTGCACAAAATAGATGAGGCTCTAAAGTTTTGCACAAAGAAGCTGTAAAGTGGTGCAACATAGAATAATTTGAACTGCCAGCTTTAAGAGTGATTTTGCCTTCATTACTAATGTTCTCGCTATAAGCATGAGTTCTTATTCACGCACTTGATTGTCTCGTGCTTTTGAAAATAAATTACTAACAGTTTTGCAAAGTTTTGCCATCATAATTACATTACTATTTAGGTGGTACTTTAATGTCACTTTCCGTGAAACCAACAAATATATTTAAGGATTTTTTTTATCAATGTCCACGGTATACATAATTATAATATGACCTTTCAACAAGAAGCTTCATAGAAAATACATTACTAGTTGAACCTTACAATAGTATATTAGATTTATGTCTAAAAATAATCATGCCTGTATACATCCTTGGTACATTATGAGTAATCCCATAGACTTATTTTTACTTTCAATATATACAAGATTTTATTTACAAGGAAAAAGGTGGAAGGAAATTTACAATACAGTAAAATTGTTCCAATGTTTTACATAGAAATACAAAGCTCTTTTAAATTAATTACTGTCCCTTCTTCAAACGTGAACTCTCTTGCTTTTCTTAGAATTATGTAACTGAAACACTATCTATAACATTCAAAATTATAACAGCCATACAGGGTGATCAAATGATGCCTTTTTTCCTAACTTTCAGACCGTTCCGTTCATTTTCAGTGACGAAAAAAAATAATTGAAATAAGTTGTAGGTCAAATGACAATTTCTTCAAAAGATCTTTCAATTATTTTCATTATGTATGATGCTCCAAATATAAACCTTTCATATCACAATAGTTATCGAATTTAATTTGCAATTATAGAACATGTAGAATTTTCCAATAAATCTTTGCCGAAAAATAAATCCAAATGAGGCCTTCTCTCTGGCTGATCTACTCATTATTTTTGAATTTTTTAATGAATGTACTAATCCAGTAGCGCTCAATCACTAAGGTCTTTCAATTTTTTGAGCATTGTTCACAGTATTTTCAATTTTAATGAATTAATGGTAGAGTGATATCCGAGGATGTGGATTGTTCTGGAAAGTTTCTCCAATAGTAACAGTCAAAAAGACAAAATAATATATGGACATATAGATATATTATTATATCTGAACGTGAAATAGTGAGTGTTATACAAAAATATATCAGTTCATAAGAAAACTGGTATTGGGGATTTGTCCACTCTAATAAATTTTATGTAGAATCTAGCTGAGTACCTAGTAATTGAAAAAGTGTATGTAATTTCAGAGGGTACTTGGATACTCATTGAAAATGGCAGATAAAAATTATAATTTTGAAAATGAAGTGTCATTAGAAAATTGAAATTAAAAAAAGAAGTCAAGATAACAAGACCAATAAAAAATAAATTTGTGTTTGTCATCTGAAAACCTGAATTGTTTTATGAGAAGCGCATGTAGAGGAGTTCATGTAGAGGAATGATTTTCAGTGAAATATTTTTGTCTCTATCAAGTTAGATTCAAGTTCAGTATTGATCGAAATTTCATAAATGAACACCCATCAACTAAAAAGTAGCTTACAGTATATTTACATAACGCCCCTAATGAAATTCAGGGATATTGTTCAAGGTGAGTACTGAAACTAAACAAATGAACCAAAACCATAGGCAGTCATTTTTTGCACGTACACAGAAAAGGAAATATATTTGCGAAAAGGACAAGCAGCCCTATTGCTCATACAATATTATACTCTCGAGTTTATTTTCGTTCAGTCCATGAAAGTGGACAAATTCCTTGACATTTTAAGAAATTTGTAACAAAAAATCTCTGTTTTGATAGTTTTAGATTCGTATCTCGGCACGGTATGTCACGTTGATTTGTTGATTCACCCTGTTAGTAAGACAATCCTCAGTCCTCACACGGAATTGTACGAAAGTATATTTCACAAGGAAAAATGAGACGGTATTTTGCAAATTCTGTAATATTGTGCTGAGAGTTTCATCACACTAGATAATGGAAATAATATGTTCAATGGGAACGTCACTTGCTTTGAAATATGTTGAGTCCGAGTCCATGATTGATTATGAAGTTTATGCCGAAGGAGAGATACTTGATAAAAAACTTGAATTGATTACTTTCATTTACTTTCAATACATCCAGTTTATAGTCAACGATAGCGAGATGAAAACTAATGTCACTACTACAGTAAAATTTATTGTATTAGCTCTTGACTGATGAAGTGGACTATTTCCAATAGAAAGGAAGAAGAAAAAAAATTGACTTATTTTGAAAAGGTATTGGTGGCTTGTTAAACAATTTTAATGATTTCTTTTCTTTCATTCATGAGTTTATAATATAAAATATACCAGTTTTATGCATTACTCACTCTGTAAAGACAAGGGGAAAGACTTTTTTGAAACATACAGCGAAAAGAAATTTTGGAAAATATATATTAACTGTAACCTAACGAGGATACTTTTGTTGTGAAATGAATTACAAAAATCAAGAATTCGGATAATTGTTCCAGTGAATGGAATGCCGCCACAAAGTACATTTCAATTATTTCAATTTGTTCAAATGATTCAGAACTATATGAAAACTTGAAATGAATGATGCAACATTTTATTTACCTACTTCAAGAAAAGCAAAGTGTATGCATATGACTTCGACGTTTTTAGTTGCAACAGATTCAATTCTGTAAACGTGTATTATAAATTCGATTTGTGAATACAACTTCTTACCGTATAATA